TGTTTATTATCCTTGCAAAGTATTGCAGATATGAAATCACCGTGTGTATTGGCATCTCTTTTTGTGAATGGTGCGTTTAGTTCACAAGTTGAAAGGTTGCTCCAACTGTAGCTTCATCTTTTTCCTCCTTAACTCTTGGGCCAGTGCTAGCAATGTCTCCCACACCGTGGTCCTGCGTCCTCTCAAGGCTGGTTATTTCAACTTCACCTCAGCAACTATTACTTACCTGGCCCAGGAGGATGGGCCCGTTGTGGTGAGTTGCCCAAACCCGTAGCTGGATGGGGCTCAGTTCTGCCTTCCTTTGAAAACTCTTGCAGAAAATCCCCAGAGCAGGCATTAAATTCTGAGGAAGATAAGAAGGACCAGAAACTTGGGATATTGTCCTTAGGAAGGAAGGACATTTCAAATTGTTAAGTCTCAGAATCGAGCAGTTCACATGGAGGGCAGGGGATGGGAGTAACATAGCATTCCCCCGTCTTCATTCCCTCTCCTTCGCTTTTAATCTGGAAGGGGTCATGTGCTGCCCAGTTTATTGCCATCTTTGCCCTTTCAGTTCATCGTCTCTGCTGCTGTCAGATGATCCCTGGTCTCCACTGCGTCTGTCTTTCCCTTGCTTAGAATGCTTCTGCTTCTGGCATTAAAACCAAGTTTTTCTGCCTCTCCTTGCATACCCTCCAGTAGTCTCGCTGTTTTCGGTCTCTCCCTTTTTCTCTCTGCCCACCAAGACCCACCATCCTAATTAGGCCAACTCCTTCCTGAAGTGCTTCCCCCTCTCTCGGTGCTCATTCTTTCCACTCTGCCTTTGTTCTCTGTTTGAAGTACTCTCTCTCCTCCACTTCATTATCTGAAGCCTTCTCAAGACCCAGGTCTGAGCTGCGTCTCCTTGTTTCTGTCTTCTGCCCTTACAATTCATATTGCTCTTTCCTACTCATTCTTTCAATAAACATTCATTGACTGCATCTAAGCTTCTATAGCTCTTACAGTCTATGCCACTTGAATGTTTAATTATTGACTGTCTTTAGTGGTTCTTTCTTATGTCTAGGTCTTTCCCTTACCTCCACCTCCCAGTTTAATTATAAGCTCCTTGAAGCAAAGGAGTTGATCTGAAATTTCTTTACCATTTAAAGTAGAAACTCACTAGTAAACAGTCTTCTGATTCTTTGATATAAAAGTCAGCAGGCACTTATTGAGACCCTGCAATGCTCTAGACTCTAGGAAATACTAAGACGATTAAGACACTGTCCTAGCCCTCAAAAAGCTTAGGTCATGAATTTATAAATACAAAAGGGCTTTAGGCTACTTAGTGCGAGCACAACAGGGAAGGGACTTAACAGAGTCAATCACAGAGCTAGGAGAAATCCAAGAGTCTCTAACTTTCAGTGCATTCTCTGAATTACCTTTTTTTATAAACCGCGTAGAGCCATATTCTTGTAATCCTAGTTATGTTTTCATAACTTTTGTCATTTCTGCTTTTAGAACCACCTTTAGGACTCTTTGGTTCTACCTGGTCCTTGATGGGTTAAAAGATACAAATTCAAAGGCTCACCTGCCACTTGAGAACAAAGTTGTTTGCAGTGTGCTCCAAACTCTTGGCCTCCTCTCCAAGACAAAGGAATGCAGGCCAGACTTAGCCCCTCCTTGAGTAATTACATTTGGGTAGGGCTTTATGCTTTTCAGAATCCTCATCATTTCATTTGAGCTTCATGTCAATCTGTGAGGTACAGAAGAGTCTTTCCACTTGAGGAACAGGGAAATGATTGCCAAAGGCAGAGGAGGCCAGTGGTGGTGAGCAACTTTTTCCAGGGTCTGAGGCTAAGATAGAGGGATTGGGCCTTGTTTTCAGCTGCATACCTGGCCTTCCTCTTTCGTAAATGCTCATCATGTGTTTCTCTGGTCTCCTGGCTCCTAATTTACCTCCTCTTTACAGCACATAAGAAACATCCAGATCTCTCTATTTGAAAAGCTTTTCCTCATCTTGATGCTTTCTTGGGCCTTTAGGGACTAAGAACCTAGTGCTTAGAACTGGATTGGTTGGAACTGCCCTTTCTCAGATGAGAAAGAGTTGGAGACTTGCCTTAATGCCCTTCTTTTCTTCTTTTTAGATTGGCTTCACCAGTGCACCTGGACAGGGCGGAATCCTGGCTCAGCGGGAGTTTGATAGGAGATTCTCCCCCCATTTCGTAAGCTTTACCCTGTTCTCCTTTGTCATTCCCCGGGAGGAGAACACTTTTTGGTTCTGGGGCCTCTTGGGCTCCTTAAAAGATATATTTAATTGGTTGGTTCTTGTCACATCTGTTTTTTGATACAAGCAGCTGTTAAATGTCTTACTTTAACTGTGATTAGAGATTTTTGGCATTGAGATCACAATTACCAGAACCAAAAAAACTGCCCTTTTTTTCTGCTCAGCTTTGTGTAGAGAGCTCCATCTTGGAGTCCTGGGTCTGATTTGAGGTTTTAAAAAATATCTGCTTAAGATTAAATGAGTCGTAGAGCATTGGGGAGGTTAAATGGGAACTTTGTTGTGGTCTAATCTAGGAGAGAATTTTTTGAAGGTTTGCCTAAAGTACTGAATGAGGAAATCCATTCATTCATTCATTCAGTGAATAACTATGAGGTTCCTAATTACGTGCTCAGTTCTGGGCTTTGCTTTGAGAAAGCAATGGTGAGCAAGACACAGTCCCTTCCAATAAAGATCTTCTGAGCTTAGAGAGGACTCAGCACAAGTCACTGGGGGAAAGTGCTGTGACAGAGATCACATACCAGGTGCTGGAGGAGATGCAGCGGGAACATCTAACCTGGTCGTTGAGAGTCAGGGAAGGTTTTCTGAAGGAGGGAAGTTGAGCCAGTTAAAGAAGAGGTAAGGAAGGGCAGGCACCCTAGGAGGAGGGAGTAACTCGGAAGTGAGAAAAAACATGGTGCAATCCAGGAATGTCAGGTAGTTCAGTGAGGCTGGAGGGCAGAATGTGAGGGGTGCTGAAGAGGCGGGCTGGAGGTCGGGGCAGGAATTAGGTCACAGGAGGCTTGACAGGGCAAGGCCTGGGCATCTCCCGCCTCAGAGATTGTCTGGAGGAGAGAAGCTTCTCTTCCAGATTGGGTTGGGTCCAGTGAGGCCTTTGGTTTCATAGCTTGAAAAATAGATTGGTCTTTAGAGAGCCATTCTGTATCTGAAGTGGCCGGAGAGGAACCTCCGGCCAAGGTTCTGCTTCATATTTGGGCTGGACTGCTCCCTTTCTCATTAGACCCCTTCCTTCCTGGTCCCCTCCTGTGTCCTAATGCAGACTTCTAAGCAGGGCCTTTGTTGTCTTCCACAGCTGGACTGGGCAGCCTTCGGGGTCATGACCCTCCCTTCCATTGGCATCCCCCTGCTGTTGTGGTACTCCAGCAAGAGGAAATACGACACCCCCAAAACCAAGAAGAACTGAGTGGGGCCTCTACAGCCCTCCCTTCCCAAGAAATCCAGGTGCTTTCCAGACTCCAAAGGGTATCTCAGATGCAGTCTCTTCTCCGTTAGCTTTTGGCCGCCTTCTGGATCTTGTCCTGCTCTCAGCCAGAGTGAAGGACGAGGTGTAGGAGTCTATGAGAGCCTCCTTGATTCCATCGCGAAGCCATACAAACAGGATTGCATTCGGTAACAGCCTTGAGCCTAGGGGCCCTGTGGTGCACCTCTGAGATGCCATGGGGTATGTTGCTGGCGATGGGAATGCTCTCCAGGGTCCAGGAGGGAGCACTTTGGAGACTGCCTGACACCACCCCCATCCCCCCTGCCCTCCCCTCTCAGAAGAGGTGGAAGACAAGATGAAAGCTGTGGGACTTTTAAAGGCTACCTGGTCTCTGTGCTGGCTTAGGGAAGCTCTTACCAAATGGGGTTTTCTAATAAAAACAAATGCCACGTTGACTTGTCCGTTTTCCCATCACCGGGGTGAGCTCAGGTTGCTGTTGGCATTTAGGTCCTGCAAGTGAGCTGAATTCCTGCCTCCTTGTTCTCAGGGTTGTGGGTCCTGTTCCCCCAGGGATATCCTACCTTTTTAATTTTATTTTTACTGAAGTGAAGTTGATTTACGATGTTAGTTTCAGGGGTATAGCAAAACGAATCAGTTAAACACCATACAAACATACATACATACATACATATTTTCTCAGTTTCTCCACCTTCCCTTTTGAAAACCATTGCTTCCATTCCTTATTTCCCTCTCTGTTCTCACCAATCACCACCTACTCCCCTAAACCTTCTTTGCCTATGAGCTCCTCTCCACAGCAAAGGGGAGAATGGGGAAAGATGGTCTGTTACTGTTCTCATGCCCCTGGAGACTTTCTGGGCTGATTTATTCACTGACTGTTCTTGAAAAGCTATCTCTTAGGCCTGATTCCAGCCTTTCCTCTATTGAAGTACTAGTTTTTCTTGAGCTTGAATTTCTTTCTAATGCCTCTGCTTTGAGCTCAGGCCAAGCAGAAGTGCCTGGATCCCCTGAGCTGTTACCTAAGCATGGCCTGTGGAGAGGCAGTGAATTTTGCTGCAACAGCAGTGGAGAAGCCACTCTGAGCTGACTCTGTCCACCCTAGGAATGTCGTGGTCCGAGCACAGCCTCCCAGGCAGAAGAGAAACCCAACAAACACTCGCTTTGTTCCTGCCACCAAGTTTCCCAGCTTAGATTCTGTTGGGGAGTTGGGGGTGATGAGTGCTGCCCAACCGGTTTAACCTTTCCTTCACCCAGCAGCCGGAGCCTCTAGGCCCCAGGAAGGATGAAAAGGACATGGAGACAACGGGAGTCTCCAAATGGAGTAGCCCTCCACCAGCTCACATCCCTCTTTCAGGGGCTGCAGCTCGGACACCCCAGGACTGGCCAGGTCAGAGGGCGAGGAGGATATATTTGCTTTTGTTCATTGTGTTCCTGGTGTAGACCTGGAACGTGCTCAGGAGAGTGGGGAAAAAGACAGTGGGTCAGAAGCTTGGGGTTGAGAACAGGTGCCAGGAAGGGAAGGGAGCCGGTTTGAAAGGTATCATCTTGCTCTCTAGGATTATGAAATGTTAGTCTTTGGAGTAGGGCACATGCTATTTCTCCAGCTGTGTAGTGTCCACTGAAAACAGAATGAGGAGTTAACCTATAGGAGGAGGAGGGAGGAGTTCTGGTTTAGAGGGTAGCATAAACTTCCTAACTCTGGAAGGTAATATAAGAGATTCCTTCTTGGTCTGGGCTCTGGGAGATACTGCTTTTCCAAAAGCTGGGGCAGTCTTTACCTTTTCTCGCAGAACTCGACACTTTGCGTTCCGGATCTTATTACAGAGGAGACCCGGGGGAACCCAGGTCTGACCCAGATGACAAGAGAAGCATTGTGAGGCAGTGGCACAGGCACCTTGAAAAAAAGCCAAAACCAGATGCTTCATCTCTCAAGAGATCAAATTCCTTAGAGTCAGGCTGGAATTTGAGCCTCCCTTAAGTAGTGGCATTGAAGGATATAAGAGCCTCTAAAATCTATAGATGGTGAGACTTAGCTGGAGTCGTTGCTTTGGGATTGAGCCGTCTCCTTGAGGTAGGAGGATGGGTAGCAGACAGTATTTCATTCTAACTGAAACCACCCTTGGGTAATGTGAACCCTGATCTCCAGATTTCGCACAGGTCTGCAAAGGAGAGGGAAAGTAAGCCCTGGCCCCTCATTCCTGGAGATTGGGTAGCCCAGCCGAGGGCGTCCTCCCTAAAAGGCAGTATAGATAGTAACCCAGTAAGCTGTCAACGTGTTTCAGATCCCCCCCCCCCGGAAACCATCCCTCTATCCCTCCCATATCGTCCAAACTCTCAGCTGGCACCTGCTCACCCACACCCAGCCCTGGTACCAGGAGGAGTCAGGTGCCCAGATTTCCACCCCTTTCACATATCAGTCTTTGGGACTTCATCTGAAGAAAGTCAATGGGAAATGGGTATGAAAATTTCCAAGAAGCTGGGGGGTGATGGAGCAGTTTGTTGACAGGATGGGAAGTTATCAAGGCTTGATCCCTTGAGAGAGCTGCTCGGGGTGGTGGAAGCAGCACTGACCCCAGACAGAGGCCCCAGTGCTGGGTCCCAGCCCCACCTCCACCACTCACTGGCTAGCTGGCCTCAGGTAAATAACGCCCTGAGCCACAATCACAGGATTGTTTTAATTAGAGGATTTCTGAGGACCCTACACCAGTATAAGGCAGCTGCTTCCCTAGTATCCTTGTGAAGTGACAAACAACTATTGTCACTCAGCCAGGTAGGAGAGAGCACACAGCTTCCACATCTCTCACCCTGAGGAAGGGTTTTAGAGCCTGGATAAATTAGGGTCGCCTAATTTAATCTTATTTAATAGATCAGGAAAGGCAGAGAGTGAAGTGGCTTATCCAGGGTCACAGTGAGTGGTAGGTAGCATATTTACGAATAGCTGCTATGGGTCCAGCATTTTTGTTCCACTGTTTGTACGTATCTCATTTAATACCCTCACTTTACAGGTGAAGAAATGAGGCTAATAGGGCACTTCTCCGAGGCCCCTTAGCTAGTGAGTTGGCAGGGGCAGCCAGGGTATTTCAATTCCAGCATGCCCTTCCCTTTGGCCACAGGGCCCAGCAGGGAGGAGGCTCCCCAGTACCTCAGGAAGTCTAACATCTGTGCATGCCGAGCTCTGCCCCAGGGAAGCAGTGAGGGTGAGTCAGCTCCCCCAGAAGCTGTTATCAGGGAAGGGGGTGGAGAGCTGGTCAGATATCCGGTGCCTGGTATCCACAACAAGCTGGGGGTTGGAGCCAGCGAGTGCCCAGCTGCCTGGTCACCATGTTCCTGTTGTCTGGAGGAGGGCCCTCAGATGTGGCTGCCCTTGTCATCGCTCCTCCCTGTACTTTCATCACAGAAAACACAGTCCTTCCTCCTCCCCCTGCTGTAAGCTGCCTCTTAAAGGGAAGACTGCTCTTAACAGCAGTTTTGAAACCAAATTCAAGAGAGGACAATGCACCTCCCTGACCCCAAAAGGACCTAGCTGTTAAGTTGGTTTCCAGCTGTGGGCCTTTCCCTGAGATGTCCTCTTTTCCCCTCAGCTCCACCCTGTCTCCGCTAGAGGGAGGATGAAGGTTCCCTGGGATGTCAGGTTCCCACCTGCTCCCCCCTTAGGGTGACCCCAGCTTGGCTTCTTGTATCTTTTTCCACATGAGCCTAAATCCAGTGGCTGTCCTTTGTTTAGGGAATGCTGAGAACAGGGGGACCCAGGAATTCTTGGGACCAGCGATGGCACCCAAGGGGTTAAAGGCCTGGGCGCAGCACTGTCTAGGGTGTTTGAAGTGGGGCGGGGAAGGGAAGGGCTGGAGTAGTTGAAGAGGCAGCTGGTCTGGACTGGAATGAGTCCCCCCTGTCTCCTATGCAAACTTCTGGACCATGAGCAATTCTCTTAAAAGGACCAAGAAAGAGGCACCCCCATTACGGTGCTGGATTGGATTCTTAGAGGGGCTACCTGAAGCGGGACTTTTTCCTATCCTGAAGTTACCACTCGAGGGCAGGAACAGGTCCCCCGTCTTTGGGATATCTCCCCAGTCTGGTGAGTTTCCCTTCTTCCCTATCCCTGAGTCCTTATCTCGTGAATGGGCATTCCCCAGAAGCAGAGATCTTCGGGAACCCCTCAGCACCCCCAGGAAGTGGCAGAACAATTCACCAGTTTCCTGCTTTCAGCTCCCATTTTTAACTAGGGTGCTGTGTTTGTGTGTGTGTGTGTGTGTGTGTGGGCACACGCACACAAGTGTGCAAATAGGAAATCACCTTAATGGCCAACAGTTAATACTACTTGTGTGACAAGTGATGCCAAACCCTTTATGTACATTCCTAATCCTCACAATCCTATGGGGTTGATATATCATAATCCCTATATTAAAGATCAGGTTCAGAGGAATTAAATAACTAACGCTTGTCAATTAAGAGGTGAATTGTAGTACTGGGGTTCAAACTCAAGTTCATTTGACACCAAAGTCCATTATGATATCTTTTGGTCTCTTTCTTACTCAGGAGGTAGGGACAAAAACTGATGACTAGAATTTTAAAACCTTAAGATCCTAATTCACCCAGGGTCCTGTTCCTCTGGGGCCTAACATTGCTCCCATTTTCTCTGAGGGTTAATTGTGAGATTTAAAGGACCACCAATTCATATCTGAGAGCCAGGGGCTTCCAGAGTCCAGATTATCCCATCTATCAGATTAGGGTCTCCCTACTCCACTCACTACCTTTAGCTACCCCCTGGGATCTGATGGGTTAATTCCCTGGGACACGGTGGCCAAAGTCTTCTCAGGTGTGTCCCTCTGAACCTCAGCCCCTCTCTTGCCCCACCCTTCTGGCACAGCACCCAGAACGCATGCCAAAAAACTGGCAGGAGGTAGAAGAGGAGTGATTGGTCTTGCCCTTTTATTCCTTAGCCCCCACATGTCAGAGGCTAGTCTGGGTCCCAACAAGCCTCTGGTAGAATAAGCATACTGGCCCAGCAGAAAGGAAGAGGACAGGATTCCTAGATTTCAGTCTGCAAACCAATTAAGAAAGAAAAGAAAAGATGGTCACACTTGGAAGCCCAAAGCAACAAAAATCCTGACTGATTTGTGAGCCTAATATACCAAAGAGGTGGGGCTGATCTAGGGTGGGTGTTTGAGATGCTTGATTGCTGACTTAGTAGAAGGAGATATGGTTAGATTAGAGAACTGGAGATGCCTGACTCTCTAGCTGTGAACTTACAGGATTAAGTACTAACAGAAAAATCAGTAACTCTGCCCTGTGGGCCCTGGAAGCAGGTGGGTGCCTCTGAAGAGTCAACCTGAAAGCTGATGGGGGCAGATGGCTTTTCCCGGTGCTAGTCCCTGCCCCACAAAGGGGCAGCCCACATACCCTGCCATTGTACTTGTGCATAGACACTTCTGGGTCC